TGATTTATAGGATCCGAACTGGAATGGAGAAAAATGGTTTTGTGCGTGTGTGTGTGAGTGTGTGTGTGTGTTTGAGTGAGTGAGGGATCCAGTAAGGGAACTGCGCCTATTTAGGAAAGAAGGTAAATTATTGCAATATGATCAATCAAAGATAAGTATGGGGACAGGTTGGGTGGTAGAGAGAAGGTGATAAAAGAGTGAGAGAGGGGAAGAAAAAAGAGGGAAGAGAGACAGAAAGAGACAACCATACAATAGCATATTCTTTCTAAGGAGGATATAATCAAGGTAGTCCATAATTGCCTAGCAATCTAACAGTATGGCGATTGACAATCTCTTTATATTTCAGCTCTAACTCTTTCAGTCTTAAAGGTTTGGTGAGGAGAAATCCAAAAATTCTTTTAAAGAGGAAAAAAATGCTTGCACAATTGCATCCATGGAGACATGTATAATATACACAACACACAGAGAAACAAACTTAACAAAGTACTAAGTCGGCCCACCAACTAACTAACTCTCTCTCTCTCTCTCGATGGCCTGGCTCCCGCTTTCGATCTGCCGCCCAACAACCGAATGGAGAAGCAAAGAGGCAGGAGAGATGAAGCGGGAGCCAAGCCGGGTCATTCCTCCAAGAGGCAACTTTCCCATTGAATGACTCGCTGCCCTAGACTCGAGGAGACCCCCTGCAGTCCCTCTCGTCTGGCCGGGATGCCAGCGAGAGCGTTGGGCTGAAGAAAGGAGGGATACCCACGCTTGCACTCTCCCTCTCCCTCCCTCCCCCTCCCTCCCCCCTATCTCTCACAAATGGCAAATCTGAGCAGCCACTGCTGGAAGCCCATCCCATGCCTTCTCCCAACCCCCACACCCCTTCTCTCAGCTACTTTCTGCCTTGTGGACCTAGAACTGATTGCTGTCTCCAGGCTGGCTCTCTTCTCCTATTATTGTGGAAGGCGTCTCTCAAAAACCACTGCGCGGCAGTTGGAAACTGTTGTGTGGTGTTTTGTTGTCACGTGCATGGCCGCACAGCTGCGCAGCTTGGATGTGGCATATTGTAAGCCACCCAGAGTCTTATGTAATTGGGCAGCATCTAAATTGAATAGCTACAGATATATAAAACTTGATTATTGCCAATTTCAACAAATTGACTGAATCATTCATGACAAGACTCAAACAAATATAGCACAAAGAAAACAATAGTAGGTTTGAAAATAAAATATTTAAGGCATGAAACAAAGCAAACCCCCAAAACTCTATGGTGTGATATATTAGGGAACCACTCTATAGAAGGACTTAATTTTTGTTTGTTTTCTCCTGAATGTTGACAGGAAGAAAGTGACCCTGATGGAAAGGGAGATGTTTTTTCAGAGGGTTGGTTTTTTTAAAAAAATATACTGTATAACAAAATGCAGCATAGTAAGTAAAATTCACAGAATATATATATGTATATGTATNTGTTGTTGGGGGCAATATGCTGACTCTGTAAACCGCTTAGAGAGGGCTGAAAGCCCTATGAAGCGGTATATAAGTCTAACTGCTAACTGCTAACTTCAGAGTGGTTGTGATAAGGATGGGTAATGTTTTTCTCTATTTTTTTTCTTGTTGAAAATGGGACTGGATGAAGAAAGGAAGGTACAAAGAAAGGAAAGTACAAAGGAGCTAATGAAACTTTCCACTTCTATGCATCTTGCATGCTTTCTTCTGTGTTTAATATTTTCTAATTTAAGATGTTAGTTATCACAGGAAAGGGAAAAATATTGTATGAAGAAAAATGCTTTCATTAACAACAGCAAAGCTCTGTAATGTTATGAGATAACACCACTAAACATAAGCTTCATACAAAATTAATGTAGAAAGAAGGAAAAACAGGAAATTGGTGAAAGGAGAATTTAAAGCAGAAGTCCCTAATCCCCGGGCCACAGCCCAGTACCATGCCATGGCCGATTCAGAATTGGGCTGTACGAGGAGTGGGTCGGAGCACACGCAAGCACACAACTTGACTTGCATGAGTGGTAGGACAGCACACACAGAGCTTGACTAGTGCAAGTAATGGGCTGGTGTGCACGTTTACAGTTGTACTTGCATGAATGGCAGGCCGGCGCACACTGCCAAACATGCATGTGCATTCTGCCCGCCACTTGTGTGGGCCTGTTCCTCTCTCTTCCCCTTGCAGGTCCTCCAAACTCTAAAGGTTGAGGACTGCTGATCCAAGGCACTCTAAAATCTTAATATACTTTTATCCAAATTGTAGAATTGTTGGTGTTAGTTGATTAAGTGGTGGTTAAGAAAATGCTGTGGCCATTAAGTGAATCT